GTTCCGAAATGGCATCACGCCAAGTTTATAATTTTATCGTACACGCTAACACAAACACAAAACACAATTGTCGTCAAAAATGTGTTTTTCTGTGTTTAAGTGTATAGCATAATTAAAATCTAGACTATTGTTTTAAACGCTCTTTTATGTTCGTCAATGCGTTTCTTGAAGGATCTACCTATTTGTCCAATATACATTTTAGGACAAGATCCGCATTTCAACCTGTAGACACCTGATTTTTGGGATTTTGGACATTTCGTTTTATTGTTTTTTAAATATTTTCCTATTGTGCTGTTAGTTCTGAAAGCTATTTTTAAACCACATTTTGACAAATGTGTTTTAAATTGTTCGTGTTCTGTATTAGGTTTGGGATAAATAGAGTTTACTGTTGTCTGGATTTGTTTTTTATTTATAATTTTATCTATAATGTTCAGTGCAATTTGTTTAATGATATTAAGTTCTTTGTTGTAATTTTCTGTTGAGAGTGGCGCATTAAGAAGTCTGTGTATAAAAGAGTTAAATGCAACCATTTTGTGTGTATAAGGGTGATTTGAGCTGTTATGTCTTGTCTCATAGACCTAATCCCCTAGAATTTGACACATTTGATTATAAAGTTCGAACAGACATTTCATCTATGATTCATAAAACGTTTATTAGACAAAAACTAAAGTTAAACAAATTAATTTCTAATTCAAAAATAACTGAAACCAAGCCAGTTATTATAAAGTATAGCGGCCATCAATTTTACAACAGGTTCATAACATTTTCTAAAAATGAAGTTGAATTTCTGGAAAAAGGTTTCAACTTTAACTTACAACACTCGTACATTAATAGGAGTCGATTGTGAATTAGCAATTAACGACATTAAGGATTCTAATTTAAACAAACATGTATTAGCGAATATAATAAACTCTCAATGAATAGATAACAACCAACACAAAGAAATTTCTCAAATGTCACAAGTAAAAACTATCAAAAACAAAGCTTCTGAAAATAACATAATATTTACACGTGCAGATAAAGGGAAAACAGTAATAGCTATCAATCTCCCAGAATATATTTCAAAAACCAACCATTTTCTTTAACCAGAACTTTTCCAATGTATCAAACACGATCCTACCGAGTTATATCAAAGACAAGTCAAGGAAGTAATTACTAACTTCGCACTATCAAAATCAAAATCCCTTCTAACGCAACACTATTGTCTTTTGATGTACAAAACTTATTTCCCAGTATTCCACCTATGGATGTGATAGATTTGGTAGATTTCACCCTAACTCGGAAACAGGTGAAACAAGATTTATTAGATATCTTAATAGTATCTTTAGACCAAAATTATTTTGAATCTAATGGACAGATTTACATCTTTAAATAAGGTTTGATTATGGGAAACCCACTTAGTCCTCATATTATATCATTATATTATATCATATCATACTAGAACATCCTTTAAAAGTTTTTTATGGTGGTACAGATACGTGGATGATTGATGTTTTTGCTTGCTTTGTTGGAACGGACAAACAATTGAATTCTTTTTTAAATTACATTAACTCGTTACATAATCGTATAAAATTCACTATCAAAATTGAACAGGATAATTCTATTAATTTTTTAGACCGAACTATTACGAAAACGCAAAACAAATTAGATTGTTCACTCTTTTATACACAGACTTCTTAATACGCCACTCTTTATATCAGTTTTGTTTTATTTTTTGCAGGTTCTGGGATAATAATAAACGGACCATCTCGTACACGATTTGGGCAGCCCCTTGGAGGTGGGAGGAAGAGTGTTCGAAAATGTTTAGATTCCAGATGCAACAACGGTGTTGCATGAATGTTATGTGCAGCGGCGCGTGCACTACTCGGTGTTAAAAATAACTACATTTCCGTCCAATCGAATGTTTTTAGTTCAACGAACCTCGATGTTTCGCGTTACAAGACCGCATCAGAGACATCAGATTTATTTACGTTTCCCTCCCAAACGACCCGCGGCCGCTAATCGAAATGATATTCGCGATTTTTGAAAGTTTAGATAATGTAATATTAGCGAGACGATCAAAGCACCAGACCGAATCATCAAAAGCTTTGATGGTCGTTTTATAAGTATACAGGCGCTTGGTGCCAGTTTCTAAAATGGCAATGACGAAAGCAGATAAGTAATAGAAAGTACGGTCAAGGATATTGACGTTTTAAGACTTTTACCGTTGGGCGTTTTCACTTCGCGCCGTCAAATCAAGTTCTTTTTCCGACATTTTGCCCAAATTCGGAGCGAGAAAAAGAAATCGCTTTGCGTACAGAGTGTCCGTTAAATACAGTATGTTTGTAATTTAATTTGGCTATATCAGTTTTGCCATTAATTCAATCTGGTTATATCAGTTTTGTCATGAATTTCGCATAGTGATTTAATTTTTATAAAAATTCATGGAAGTCCATGGTGAATTATTTTCTTTGTTTCATGCAAGGTATAATAACACCTTTACCTGCATTTCTACATCAAAAAGGTCTAATTACTTATTCACTGTAAAATTAGACAGCTTACACGTTCTTTCTCATAATCAGCAGCTTTTATCGCTAAATAATAAAATAAAAACGACACTTATCAAAACTGTCAGTTACGTCGCCGTGTTCTAACTTTGGGTTTCTAAAGGAAACAGTTTTTTGTTTATACATTGTCTAATTTTTGCTACATTATATGCAATTTTTTTATTTGTGGGAGATTTTTTTTCCATTGCATAAAATAATTCGTTAAAAATTTTCTGTCTTTTTCATTTCAAGTCATTGTATTAAACAGTTTCTAAAAAAGTGCTAATTTTGATTTCTACCTTTCTCAACTCGTTGACGAAACTCAAAATAAACGAGTTTTATTTTTAAGTAAACGTAGTACAATCTGTACTCAATAATAGAACTTCTCCTTGAATTTAATTACGAAAACTAATGAAAAGAAAGGTAATTTTGCAAATTCTACGCTCATTTATTTCAGTGCCAGTGAAATAGCACGACATTATACCGTTATCGTTCTAAACTGCGGCGTTTTAAAAACCTCGACGACTTTTACAACGGCTGTTTTGAATTTTGCCACAAAATCATAGTACCGTGAAATTTGATATGTCGGAAAAACTGCTGTTTTTCAGTAAAGCGCGTTTTGCCGTCAAATTAAAGAACGTTGATGTCGAAAAATCTGTATAGCTTGGAGACACGAAGGTGAAATATAATTAAATAATTTTGTAGACAAAGCAAACAGATAATAACTCAGTCGATTATCTCTCTTCGGTCCAAATTACACGGTGCGATTAATTGTGAATGGCGTATTTAAAAAACGCGTTTGTGAAAGCTGAAATTTTATTTTGAACGAAAAAAAAAACAAATTTTTCGAGTGTGACAATTAAAAAAAAATTCAATGTTCACTTATTGTTTTTTTTTTGTAATATATGATTGAAAATATATACCAGTTAATAAACAATAATAAACGTAATAATTATTACATAGTATTAAAACATTAATACTACGTAATAATTAATGGCTAATTAATTATTAACAACAGCTTCACTCAATTTGTCCATTGCTAAGGATTTTCGAGGTATTTATTTGGAAGAAACGAAAATGAAAAGCCTATATTAGTAAAGTTGGCATCCTTTTATGAAGTATTTCATTCCATTTATAACTGCGTTGAAAAGCGAAATACTCGGGAATAAGAACGTGATTATAGAGGCGACTGGAATATTCGACCCCCTGCAATCTATAAAAGCTCTGCTATACACTTACTCAGTAAAATGAAGCCTGAGGGCGAGGAAATATAAATATTATTATTATTATTATAAATATAATATTATATTATATAAATTATGGGTAATATTATATATAACATATAGTGTGCAAATAGTTAGTGTTTTTAATTGTTACTTTGGAATTCCGTTAAGTTTCACTAGGCGTAAGTTGTTTAATTTCATAGTCGCGTTTGACGAACGCTAACGATTTTAGCTGTTTCAGAAACGTAAGAATATGCCAGCTTAGCGATATTTCTACTTAACATTTACAAAAGAAAATATGAAAATGATGATACTTCTATTGACCAAATATATTGTTATATTATTGTTAAAAATTATTAATTTTTAGCAGAACTTTTTGCTCAGTTACTTTATAAATACCACACAACACAATCGTTTCATTTTCATAGACGTTAAATAGACGCGATACAAACATCAAGTATGTCCGAATTAATCGATCTAATGATCATAACAGACGATAACGAAAACGTTAACATAAAAAATGATGGCTAGGTAAATATTTACTAATTACGTACTCCGAAATTGTTTGCACGGATAATAAATCTTGGCAAACATGGACAACACGAAATGCGCTTTATCCCAAACCTAATGCGGCTATAAATAAATGCGGAAATATTTGACAATAAATGCTGTCTTACACATTTACACGGGAACATAATTGCCGTGGGTGTAGGAAGGATTAGCATCAAGTCCTTTGCTAGATAGCCACCAGTATAACCTAACAAAAGATATTACATGAATCTATTTCTTTCTGACAAGTAATACCCATGTTCAAATCCAAATTTGGAAGAAATTAAGGATGATCTGTTGGGAAATGATATCAGTGTCATATAAAAATTGACTGTACTACTCTAAAATAGGGAAGTTCTAGCCTTCCGTATTTATTGGCCAAATCCACTAGATACATTTAACGTTTCTTGAAACATATCTGTCAATTTGTGTTGTGTTTGAATTTAGAACTGGAAAGCTTTCTCTATAATGTTGAAGACTAGGATAAATCCATAAAGGTACTGAGTCGCTATGGATACCAAAGGAACTATTTTTTAAGCAACATCAACATAGACTATACTGCGCAAACATGAAATTGATATGAAAACAAACTTTATTTTCCAAGTAGATTAACATTTTCTCTGCTAGAGGTCTCATTGAATTGTAAAATCGGCAATAGCCGAAAGGGTGAAACGGGCTTTCTTTTATAGTGTTATTGATCGTTGCCATGGAATTTCACCAAAAATAGAATCGAACCGATCAACTTGATTGACGTAAAATGGCGAATATCTTGAAGTTCTTTGGCGTGGATCGCGTGATGCTACTTTACGAAACCGTCAAACAGTACGGAGGTGTCAAAGCTTGCCTCTACAAGATGTACATAACAGATAGCTTGAAGCCGGGAAAGCTGATGGGAACAGACGAATTCGGGAACACTTACTACGAGAACCCCAGCTACTTTTTCGGAAGGGACAGATGGGTTGCGTTTGTCCCTTTTTTTTTAATTTTAAGCTTACAACATATTTCTGTAATTATTAGGTAGTGTACGTTCCTCACTTCGCTTTAGAGTACGACGCCAGTCAGGTCCCAGCGGAATGGTACGGATGGTTGCACCACAAGACCGATTTGCTTCCGCACTGTGATCCGTCTAGACCGAAATACAAATGGATGGCACAGCACATCGAAAATCTTAGCGGTACTCCGGGACAATACGTTCCGTATTCAACTACGAGGCCTAAAATACAAGCTTGGGTACCACCGTCTAATAAAAATATCCTTAAATGTCCCTGAATTAAAAAGGATACTCAAATACAATCTTATCATACAAACAAAATTTAATTTTTCAAAGAAACTTCCACAGGCTTTTACAAAACTTCTGGATTCCTCCTGCGTCGGTTTTGGCTTAGTCGAAATTGCTGACGTTTCGCCAATCATCCTGTTGACTTCTTCAGAGCTTGACTGAAACTGAAGAAGCCAACAGGATGATCGGCGAAACGTCAGCAATTTCGACTAAGCCAAAACCGACGCAGGAGGAATCCAGAAGTTTTGTAGGCATATTAATCCCTATTTATTTAATGTAAACTCTGTTCATAGATATAAGAAAGTGACTAACTGATACGAATTAAGGAGAGGCCCGGGCAAGCTGTAAGAATGAAATATGGCCGAACAGGTCCGTACTTTGCTTAGAATTTAATTATTTAGGGTTTTGTTAGGAAATATACTAAACAATATTTATTTATTTATGTATGTATTTATGTTAAAATCTAAAATAAAATTACAAATTATTTTTATTACCTACTTCAATTACTTAATAATCAGTATCACTATCGCTATCATCGCCTGTTCTAATTATTATTTGTTCTATATTATTTGCAATATGGATATACCATTGTTCTGCTTTGTCTATATGTTTAACAGAATTTGCCCAACTTTCTGGAGGGATGTTAAAAACTTCGGTTTCTATAAGTTTGAGGACATTGGAGTTAACACGGGGAAAATTATCACAGACGTATGTATTCCTTTTGTAGGTTCAAGCTTTGTAGGCACGCTATGTTACTCATATAACTGGTAAAATTTACAACATTGTTACGACGAATGGCAATATTTTTCGCAGACAGAGAAAGTCCATTTGGAATCCAACCATCTTTACAGCCAGCATGCAAAATAGTTATTCTTTTACCTCTTTTTGATGGCGCGTTTGTTTTACACTTATCACTTGAGTCAACCCAACCCTTTTCCGGGGTATCATAAGTGCCGAACCAGGTTTCTTCCAAGTAAATAATTGGCCTTTGTTGTTCTCTGTAAATCCTAATTTCTTCTGGATATTCCAGTCGCCGTTTCCGAATTCTAAAAGATTCCATTAAAACTTGCCTTTTGTCAATTTTTTTAAATCTAAAACCCATGTGTTGAATACACTTCCATAAGGTAGTTCTGGCACATGTAACACCGGTTTCATCTTTTTCAAGCCTCCTAATTAAGATATCTAATGTAGGCACACTTTGTTCCTCGTATAACTGGTAAATTTTACGCCGTATTATATCTTGATCATTTTCATCTACACTCGAGAAAATGCCAGCATCGCTTCTTTTTTTCCTCGCTAAAATGAGATTAATCACAATGTGGCTGTTTCTTCTAAAGATGCTTGTTTGCTGGCACCACGTTCAATGAGAGTCAAATAAACATTGTTTATAACTTCCTTAGTGTCAATAGAATGGTGTTTTCTACATTTGGGCGGAAGCATCTCCTGAGATACATTTGACTAGCATACATTTTGCATAATTCGCGCACACTTCAACACACGCTGTATTACACACGAAATAAAAATAATTAATAATAAACTTAAACTAAGTAGTATACCAAACCAAAGAATATTAAACACAGGTAGATATAAAATTATTTTCTATTACGGACCACAATTTTACCTATATTTAAATTTCGAAACTTTAGATAATAATCTTGTTGCATTGTATGTTAATGACCACCATTAGATAATCCCATTCAAAAGCAATTGGTCACTTTCTTATATCTATGAACAGACCATACTCGCAATAACGAGGTATATCGCGTACAACTAGCGCCCTCTCCATATTAAAAATAAGAGAATGTAAACTTCAACAATCTTATAAATGAGCAAATTTGGCTCAAAATCAATATTAGGTATCATCAGTTTGATCTGGAGAATTGCTTTTCGGTACATTTATTGCCCCGCGGTTACGCCTATGTCTGTAATATACAGTTATCCGATTTACAGCTTGATGTCTAACCGAAAAAGATTACGCAAACACGATGAAAGTACTGATTGTTTTGTTTCCGTCGAGCATGGATGGGAGAAAGAACCGCTCGTACTTTTCGTTCCACTCCTGACATCTTGTCCGTTGACCCTTCGAATAACCGGTTAATTAACCGCAGAGCCTGTCTGGTCGACCATAACGTCAGGCAGCTTTTGTCGCCATACTTGGACCGTATCACCTATCAGCTTTAATCACGGGTAATTGCTTAGAGAGAGACTGGATTGTTTTGCCAGGCAGTTTATCAATGGGCAATTATTCGGGAGATAAGCGATTAAGGACGTTGGGGTTTTCGATCGAAGTTCGTTTGCTTTAGAGAGCGGATACCATTTGGGCACAGAATTATTATTAGCTATTCCGAACTATGATCACGGTTGCGTTCTTGTCCGAGTTCAATAATAAAGCTAATTAACGTTAATTGACGATCTCATCATTGTTGAAGCGCCTAATTATCTGCAGACAGCACTTAAATTTGCTTAATTGCACGGAAATACTAAACGATGCAATTAACGTCTGGTTTCGGGAATATTCCGCTTTTGTTCACAAGAGGCGGATATAATTGAAATGCAACAGTTCAAATAAACAAAGGCAAGTGTGCTTTCGTGATGAAAGAAAAACATACCTCGAAACATACATAAGCATTTTCTGATCAAAACGAGATAGTAAAAATACAGTTGAGAACAATGGGCTTGTTGGGCTAGAGACAGTTCCAGCAAATCTTGATTCCATAATTAATGTCGAATTAATCACCAGTCCTCATTTCTTCGACGCTATAAAGATCTGCAAACTCTACCTGAAATACTAGAATCTTTAATCTGAAACTTTCAGATTAAAGTAGGAAAAAAATTGTTTACGGAATTCAAAAATCGCATATTCAACCTAATGTCAGCGTGAATAAAATGTGCAAAAGGAATGAATATTTTTAAAACAATTTTCTAAGAGTTTTGCAAGTGATGGTGATTAGTCCACAAACTCAAAAGAGCAAATTTGCCAACCGGAATGATAGACTTTTCCGTTATATGCATTGGGCATATTCTCGCAAATGAAGCATTAGTAGAGAGTATTCACAACTTCAGAGTATTTTAAATTGCCTTTTGATAGAGAAGCCACTTTAAAATGTAGTTAGGTAAACTAATGCGTAGTTAAGAATGTCAAACTTTGGAAGCTCTTCTAGAATTTGTTGCGAGTAGAACTTAGTCTTCAAAATTTGAAATCTAATGTTGAATCGTAGTAATGCAAAAGACAACGCTGATAATACGAATTTGAAATAGGAAACTGTAGAGTTATAAATTAACTAAACTTCTTGTCATGATTCTTATCAGAAGTGCTTTTGTATTTTTGTGGATTCAGAATGTGATTTTGTTGACGGTTGTCTGGTCTCATTTGGGTTTATTTTATCTGAAATTCGTTGAAAATATAACAAATTTGGGTTGGGCGGTCAGAGAAATTCCTATAATCAGTAATGTATATTGAGTATTGATACAACACTGGAAAACCTGAACATTAAACTAGACCAGATAAAATTATCAAGTTTTACTTATGTATTTTATACAGGGTGTTTTCCAATAGAATATTAATAATTAACTTATATGAACATATGTCCTAAATGTCTTAACAATATCGTTAATATGACAATTATTATCATTATTAATTCTTACTTAAGTAATTGTCTATTTTTTTACGGGATCCTTTTATATAGTTTACAAATCTATTAATAATATTTTTTTAATCGTTACAATAATGTTGGATTAAAAGTGGTATATAACATAATACAGAATAATAACCTGCATGTTAGTTTCTTTAAAATGTGGAAAACATGACTCACAAGCAGGTATCCAGTTTTATTGTTTGATCGCTTTGTTTGTCCCGACGCAAGAAGGGATGATTGTCCTCGTGGAGTTCGGCATAAGGATGTACTTTAAGGGCAGAATAAATTACACTTTATAATGGTTCGGATGTTTTTACTTTTTTCTCCTCTTTATTAAAATACTTCAAAAAATCGATGTACGGATATGAAGTACTTCAACTGTGAGGTGTAGTTTTGAAATCTTTATAATTATGTCTAATCATTGTAGTAGGCTGTGTCTTATTAATTCTGTTGTTTGGCATCAGTTTTTAAATTTAAATTTATTGATATTAAAACATCCGAGCATTGTGATTTTAAAAAAGAATAGTCGAGTTTACTAATGAGGACTTAGCAGATATGCATTTTATGTATGGTTCGGCTGATGGCAGTGCGCCGGAAACTAAGGCGATTATATCAAGAGCGCTTTCCTAATAGAGTCATACCAGATAGGCGAACATTTTCAAATGTATATATGTAGAAGGTTTACTGAAACAGGGCAAATAATCATTTAAAAGGGGCCCATCGTACTATAAGAACCCCAGAAATCGAAGAAGCAGTTTTAATTGATACAAATCCTGAACTTAGTACTAGAAAAATTGGAAATAATCTGAATATCTGCTCCTCCTTGGTTTGGAAAATTTTGCGCGATTATCTATAGAGATTTTCCCTTGTGTGTTAATTTTTGTAAATGGTTTTTGGACTAAATTGCCTGGTTTGACCAAGAAAAACTATTTATACGTGAAGCTAACTTTTCCAAAAATGCAATCAGAAATTTCCACAATAACCATATTTAGGCCGATGAAAACCCCCGCGCAGATATAAAATTTAAACAAGACAAATATTTGGGCCTCAATTGCTGGAAATTACTTAATTGGACCTTTTTTTTAGAAGAGCATTTACCAGAAGAAGTACCATATATTGGGAACAGAATGTGTGTGCTCACTTTAGTGTTACAGTAAACGAATATTTAAACCATACATTTAATAGCCGATGGACAGGTCGCGGCGGACTTCAACCATGGCCTTCTAGGTCCCCAGATTTAAATAGTTTGGACTTTTTCTTACGGGAGCATCTTAAAAGTCTGGATTATCATACCCCAGTTCACACCGTAGAAGAGCTGAAAGATCGTATAAGAGCTCCCTGCAATTTAATAAGAAACACTGGATGTATACTTCAAAGAATGCGCG